TGCATGTGTTCACATAATAGCTGTTTATGCACATATTTTAATCAGTTAGTGATATAAATCTTGTGCCACATTGAATTGTATCTGAAGTCTTGCAATATCAGCATCTAATGCTGCCAGATCACGTCTGAATCCAACCTCAGTACTAGTAGTCCAGCCACTACATGATTGTGTATTAGTACAATCTCCTGATGATAATGAGGCTTGATCTGGAGTCAGGGAATGTGCATCCTTTTCTTCTTCACTATTGAGGAGAAAGAGATATGAAATGTGCATATATGATGACAAAAATGCTTAGAAAAGTACATGTAGTCAGATTTGGAATTAACTTCTAAACTTCTATTAGGACTCCTGCTTCTACACAGCATAGTGGCATTCATATCAAAAAATGTAATATAAATGGAGAGGCAAATTTTGAAAAAATTACCATCCCTTACTCTTTATCATTTGTCCTGTATTGACTATTGCTTGAATTGTGGATACATCTTTCTGTGATATCATAAACCATTCAGTTTCACTTGATGGCTTCAGATCGATCAACATGTGAGCCAAACACTGCCTTAACTCACTATAATAAATAAGATTAAAATAAAGGTAATGTTATTTTTGTGAATCATATCATATGTTGTACACATGTACTTACAGTAGAGCATCTTGTGACTGTAATAATTCTGTTTCTTTCTCTGCTACTGATAGTTTAAGCATTTGATTCTCATCGTACAGTTCTTGCTGCTCTAATTCAATGTCTTCACGATACTCTATAGCATGAGAAATCCATAAAATTAATTCTAAATCTCATTACATGTGACAGACTATTACTCACTCTCTTTCCATTGTGTCTCAATTTCCCTCAAACCAATCTCTAGTTGTGATAGTTTAAGTGTCAGAGTATCTCTCTCCTCTTTCTGTACTTCTTCCAATACCTAATAATAATAATAATAATATAAATGTATATAACTTATCTAAATCTTATTGTGAAATTCAAATTTAGGTAAGTTAATTTTTATTAATTAAAATTTAAATTTCATGCCTACTTACATCTATTTTTGCTGCATACTGTTGACCTAATTCATTCTTTTCTTCTTGGAGCTTCTTTACTGCATAGTAAAATTTAAAATGATAAACTTGTAATCTTTTAACAACTTTAGGAAATTTTGAAATGCATTGTACATGTCATTTAAAATTCAGTTAGACATTATATCAATCACATCACACATGGGAAGTTTAATTATTACACTAAAAGTAATAATAGTGTTACATGGCATTTACTATTGCGCATAAATTTGTAGGAATTTTATTAAATTGTAAAAATCTAATTCTAATTGGGGTCTGCTATCTGCTAAAACTTTCTAGAAACCATAAAAACATGTATTATGTATCAGAAAAAATTATTAAAATAGAAAATTCCTTCCTGGCCATTATTGACAAAATTTAGCACAGACACTTAATTTGGCTCAATTTTTGAGCAACTTTAAAAATTCATAAAAAATCTAAATTTAATTGAAATATGCCTAGACTTTTTACAAAAACATAAAAACATGTATGTGTATCAGGAAAAATTACTAAAATGAAGAATTCTCACCTTTTCATTTTTGGCAAAATTTGGTTGAAGACACTGTACTATAACACAGATTTTGGCCCAATTTTTGACCAACTTTAAAAATTCATAAAAAATCTAAATTTAATTGAAATATGCTCAAACTTTCTACATAACATAAAAACATGTATATGTATCAGGAAAAATATTAAAATGAAGAATTCTCACCTTTTCATTTTTGCCAAAATTTGGCCGAAGACACTGTACTATAGTACAGGGATTTTGGCTCGATTTTTGAGCAAATTTAAAAATTCATAAAAAATCTAAATTTAATCGAAATATGCTCAAACTTTCTATACAACATAAAAACATGTATATGTATTAGGAAAAATTATTAAAACTAAAAATTCTCATCTTTTCATTTTTGGCAAAATTTGGCCAAAGGCACTAGGGACTTTTGCCTAATTTTTTAACACATTTAAAAATTCATAAAAATCCAATTTTAATTGAAACTCATAGAAACTTT